TTAATGAACAGCAGCTACAATGCCCTGGGAAGCATATCACCAAAACCTAACCAATATGCAAGAAAGAATTTTTGAGTTGACTGGTTGAAGGAGAAAAGAAGTTGCAAATAATGAAATATATAAGCTGTCCATATAGTTCTATAAAATATATCTTTGAGAAAAAAGTAAGTCATACAGAAGAGAAAAATATAGTTTTTGAGTAAAGAGGAAAAAGAAGTCTAATAAAATATGTTAATTACATAGATATCTTTAAAGATTATAATGGTGTTATGTGGAATTATTTAGAGAAGGCTCTCTTCATTGTCGTATCAGCATGGAGTTTTCTTTGTTTCCCAGGGTTCCAAAGACCATCGATGGTTTATTTACAAACTCATATGTCCAGCTGCCTGCTTCACATCTCCATCTGGGTGGCAAATGACAGCGAGAAAAGCGCTCAGAACTCTGTCACTTTTCTCAGCTCAAATGTGGGCCCTGCTATAGTGAAATGTTACATGCCCCATATCCTATTTGTAAATATTTGTCCCCTCCTAACTTTGTTTTTCCTCACTTTAAGTCTTCTAGCTTTTCAGGCCTGTCAATGCATGGCCTTGGAGTTAGCTTCTACCCATCACTGTATTCTCAAAGAGAAGAATGAAGAGAAGCTTTCACTCCTGTTACAGTTTCAGAGGTGGAGGGATTCTGAGGCCCACAGGAAGCTTGGAAAAGGTGATAAACTGAAAACCTCCCCAAGACTATCACACGTCCAGTCTGGAAGTGAGTAAAAATGTACAGCGTAGTCCTTCTCTCCTGTTTTCTTTCATTGTGAAGCTGTCCCTGTGAATGCTATTTGTAACAGAGGAACCTTTCAGGACACTTGAACTCCCAAGGTTATTGCTATGGCCTGTGGGATCTAACATTTAATCTCTCAAGTGTAGTCCAATAATCATTGATCTTGCTGGATGGCTGGTTGCCTTGGTGATAACATTTAAATGGACATATCTGCTTTTTAGTATGGTAAATATTTGTAAGAGTTTTCCTTTAGCCCAGAGAGCTTTGAAAATCCACCTCATCTCTCCTGTCACATAAAAGCATATTTTCTAGTTATCTATTATCACGAAACAAATGACTTTGAAACTGAGTGGCTTAAAACAACCATTTTTATTTGCTCACAATTTTGTGGGTCTGGAAGTTGGGAAGAATGCAGTTAGGTCTTCATGTCTCATCACCTGGGTCAGCTGGAGTAGAGCAGTGGTTCTCAACTTCCCTAATGCTGTGACCCTTTAACACAGTTCCTCACCTTGTGGTGATCCCCAACCATAAAATTATTTTCGTTGCTACTTCATAACTGTAATTTTGCTACTGTTATGAATTGCCATCGGAAATATGTGCTTTCCGATGTTCTTAGGCGACCCCTGTGAAAGGGTCGTTCGACCCCAAAGGGGTCGCGACCCACAAGTTGAGAACCGCTGTGCTAGAGGCTCCATTTCCAAGATTGCTTATTTGTGTGTATGTCTGGGTCCTAAGTGTCCATGGCCTCCGTCTCTTTTTTTCACATGACATTTCTTCCTCCAGGACCTCTCCTCCATGTGGCATGGGCTTCTCTCAGAATGGTGGTCTCAGAACCATTACTGGCTTCCAGGGGGCAGGAAGCAGAAGTTGCCAGGGAATTTCAGGACCATGCCCAGAATTGGCACAGTGTCACTTCCACTACATTGCATTGGTAAAACAGCCACAAGCCCTGCGTAGACTCAAGAGGATGAGAGGTAAGCTCCATATGTGATGGGGGGAGTGTCAAGGTCACATTGCAGAAGACAGGTGTGATAAAAAATACTGGTGAGGTCATCTTAGGAAAATAGAATTTTCCAAAGGATGAAAAACAGTGACTTTGGTCAACAATGTGTAAGTGTGATGATTTCTGTGCCAAACATCTCACCCATACTTGAAGGGGCAGAAAGGGAAATTCTCCCAAAGGGAGTGATATCCCAACTGAGAGCTGAAAGATGAATGGGGGTAAGCCAGATGAAGAAAGAGAAAGTTCCAGATAGAGTCACAGCAAGTCAACAAGAGAGACAATGCACATTTCAGAGCCTAAAAGAAGTTCAGGATGATGGAAAGGGTGTGTGTGTGTGTGTGTGTGTGTGTGTGTGTGTGTGTGTTTGTCAGTCCTTGAACAAGTATCACAAGTATCATTGTGTTGAGGGTGAGGCCAGGTTAATGACATCCCAGGTTTTTCTCTTGAGGACAATGGTTTTAGGCAGTTATTCCACTTCCTTGTGATTTGGAGAATGGATTGGCCAGTGGTAGACCTGAAGGCAAGAAAAGTGGGGTGGCTATCAGAGAAGATGGATGGTGGCAGTCAAAATGTGAAGTACTGGATGCATTTAAGAGATTAGGAGCAGAATCCATAGGCTTTCAAGGTGAAAGCGAGGAGAAAGCTTACATTTCAGGCTCGGGCAACTGGCTAAACGTTTAACTTTTTGGTAAGGAAGGCAGAAGCATTTACTAAAGATTGCAGAGTACCAGACAGAGAGCTCATGCTTCTATTTTATTTGGAGACAGTTGCAGAAGTAAGTATAATGATGATACAAGCCATAATACTTTATTTTATGGCACTTTTAATGCTTGTGTATTATATCATTTGACCTTGAATCATCTAAGTAAGGTGGAGAGGGGTTTTGCACCCCACTAATGTAAGAAATCCAGGGGAAGGTCCTTGTTCCACTACTAACCTCTTTTAGAGCAGGGTTCTACAAACCAGGCGTGCCGCCACATCTAGCCCACTACCTAGTTTTCACAGCCTGCGAGCTAAGAATGGTTTTTACATTTTTAAGTGGTGAAAATCAAAAATCAAAAGAGGAATAACATTTCATGACAAGTGAAAATAATATGAAATTCAAATTTCAGTATCTATAATAAAGGTTTCATTGAAATAGCCACACCCATTTCTGGTGTTTAGAGGACAGAAACATACCCCTGGTTAAGAATACCAGCAATGTGATCTCACTTATATGTGGAATCTAAGGAACAAAATACACCTATGAACCAAATAGAAACAGAGGCACAGATAAATGGAACAGACTGACAGCTGTCAGAAGAGAGGGGGAAGAGGGTGACTGTATGAAAGAAGGCAAAGGGATTAGCTGAAGAACATATATGCATAACCCATAGACACAGACAACAGTATGGTGATGGCTAGAAGGAAGGGGGTCCAGGGCTGGGTGGAAGTAGGAAAAGAGGGGAGAGAGGGGAATGAGGATATCTGTAATAATGTCAACTATAAAAATAAGGGGAAAAAACAGAATCCTAGCAATGAACTAGATTCATTCACTGGCTTCTATAACTCTGCCTTCCCCTGGGAAAAACTCTCCAATGCCTCCACCCACCCTTTTCTAAGTGGCAAACAGCAGGCAACTTATTTATGTGACAAACAATTGTGTATTGCTTGGGATCTGCCAAGCTCATTTAATTCTCATCACAACTCTAAGAGGTTGTATTGTATGATCATCAACATCTCCATTTTACAGTGAAAGAAACAAAGAGACTGAGTCACCTGCAAAAGGTCACAAGGCTAATAAGTGGTGGAGGTAGGATTAACATTTGCCACTTTAATTATGATCTGTCTAGGTGTGGGTCTTTTGGGGTTCATCTTGATTGGGACTCTCTGTGTTTCCTGAGCTTGTGTGACTTTTTCCTTCACTAGGTTAGGGAAGTTTTCTGTGATTATTTCTTCGAACAGGCTCTCTGTTCCTTTCCCTGAGTCTTCTTGTTCTCTCTATGATGCGAATATTGTTACGTTTTGTATTGTCCCAAAGCTCCCTGAAACTGTTCTGCTTTTTATTTTATTTTTTCCATTTGCTGCTCTATTTGGGTATGTGTTTTTTGTTTTGTTTTGTTTTGTTTTTTGTTTTTTTCTACCTTGTCTTCTAAGTCACTGATTCGGTCTTCAGCTTCTTCTAATCTATTAAATCCTTTCAAGGTTTTTTTAATTTTATTTTTCTATATCAGCTATGTCATCCTTCATTTCCACTTGATTTTTATTCATAGCTTCTACCTCTTTTTTTTAATACTGGTGTAGTTCTCATTAAGTTGCTTGTAGTTCTCACTAAGTTGAGCACCCTTAAAACCATTTCTTTGAATTCTTTATCTGACAAACTGCTTGCCTCCATTTCCTGTAGTTCCTTTGCTGGTGATTCCTCCTTTTCTTTCATTTGGGGGTTGTTTCTTTGTCTCACCATTTTATTAGTCTGGCAGTTCTGGGCCAGGTGAGGTGTGTTTGGCCACCTAGGCAGGTCAGTGTGAATCAGATAAGACTGCTATGGCTCCCAGTCTTGGTGAGGTGGCCTTCTTGTGGGACCCAGTGGAGTAGTCTTGATCCTCTGACCTGGGTGCTCTAGGAATGACCCTTGTGTGGGTTATGTGGGCACTCCTGTTGAATTTGGGTCTTGATTGCTGTTGTCCGTTTGTGGGTGGGCTCAGTCCTGGGGTTGTTAACTATGAGTCGCAACCCCTGGCTATGTAGATGGTGTGGTGCAGACTCTTATACAGGTGTTGACAGGACAAAATAAAGCAACCAGACCAAATCAAAAAGATCCCCGTCCCCAAATATCTAGGTGGAGGTAGGATTCAAACCTGGGCAGCCAAGCTCTGTGTGTTGCGTGGCAAGCGGACTCCAGTTAAAGACAGATTTCCTACGGAGTGGAGCTGAGACCCTAACCAAGATCAGAGCACCTGTCCCGCTGACACTCCTCCGAGCTCGCTCCCCCACTTCTGTGTTCAGGGGCGCACCTCTCCCAGCGCAGGGCCAAAAGGCTGCAGAGCAGCCAAAGGGCTGTAGAGCAGGCAGGGAAGAGGAGAGGGCGGAGCGAGAGCATCCACACGGTGGCGTGTCAATAGAAGTGTCGCCCCTGCCCAGGGCCCCGGAGACCCACAAACTCCTGCCTCCCGCCTCCCGCCTCCGCCTCCCGCCTCCCTGCCGCAGCCGGCGAATCGCTGAGTCACGGTGAAGAGGCTTCCCTGCACCCTTCCCGCCGCCTTCCTGCGCTCCTGCCCACTGCCCATGCCGGCTCCCACACCGTCGTACGACTCCAGCCGCTGCCGCGTGAATACCCGGGCGCTTTCAGGGTGGGTGGGTTGGGGCGAGAGAGGGGCGCCGGGCATCAGGGAGCTGCATCCAGCTTTCCTCATCCCGCTTCAGACCCTTAGGGGTCTCCGAGGGAGTTGATTAGAGATGTTTAGTAGTCCTTTACAATTTGGTCAAAGTGGTAGCCGCTTTTCTTTCTGAATTGTAAGAGCCTGGAAGGACCCAGAAATAGTTCAGATGGAATTGCTTGTTTGTAGGTGATGACTGTTCTGTACGGCTTTGAAGCTTGAGTTTATTTTCTGTGCTCCACAGCCCAGCACCCAATAAATATTGATTTCCTGCTCCTCTTAGAGTGAGCCTTGACTGACAGGGGAGGGCATTGACAGGCAGAGTGCTTTGAATAATAGCAGTTGACTTTAGAGCGCTGACTGCACTCCATTGAGGTAGGCAGTCTTATTACCCCTGTTTTACAGATGGAAAAACTGAGGAAGAGAGAGGTTTAGCAATTGGCCTCAGGTCACACAGCTGGTACTTGGGGAAAATTGGGATGCACATCCAGGCTGTTTGGCTCCAGGATTTGTATGTCTTGTTAAAGCATCTGTTGGTTTGGGTAGGAATCTTTGAGGGAATGGATTATATTTATCTTGAAGAACAGCTTTAGGGATTGGGGTTACTGTCTGCAAGCATTTGAAGAGGAAAAGGAACTGATTTTATACTTATTCTGTACTTGGTCCTGAAATCCAGGATGCATTGTCAAGAGCACCTCCTCCAGGAGTTTCCTGTGCTCTTGAAGATTTCATGAGAAAGTGCAAAGATTTCTTGCCAGAAAAGTTGCTCCTGAACTTCAGGGATAGATGGATATTTGAATTTCATGACCCTGAAAGATCCCTTTCAATGCCATGATCTTCAGCATTCTGGAGAGAGTCACAGACTTCTTGTTTTTTTCTCTGTTTTCCCTATGTTACTGTGCAAAGCTCTCTCAGCCTCACTGGTAGCACCTGCCTCATGGGGCAGTGTGTGTGTGTGGGGGGGGGGGCAGGCTGAGAGATTTCAATGAGGTAAAGCAGATAAACTGCCCATATTGCTAAACCTTGTAGAAGAGTGGCTGTAGGATCACATGAGATAACAATTGTAAATAATTAGTGGCTGGGAACCACGTACTCAAACACATTCACCATCATGACTGCTGTTTAAATCACCTAACCCACTCCGTGTACATAGTAAGCAATCAATAAATTGTAACTGTTAGTATTTCGGGCAAGTCTGATTTTAATATCTTTTATTTTGTAGTCCTTGGATGTAACTTAGGACTTAGTGACTTTTTTGTTTTTTCCCTTCTTTTGCCCTCTAACCTCTACAGCTCAGCATCAGAACAGTCTCTTTTTGGACTGGGACATGGCATCCTTCAAGAAAGTCACCCTCTCAGTGCTTAGCCAGGAGCAGTCGGAAGGGGTTGGAGCGAGAGTTCGCAGAAGCATTGGCAGACCTGAGGTATGTTGGTTTAGTGGTTGTTTTGTGCTGTTTTGAGGAAGGGACTGGTGGGACACTGAAGGAAAACTTGGGAATAGAGGGCCCAAGACCATCATGAGCTGCTTTGTGTGGGGCCATAGGAGCCAAGTCTAAACTTAGCATTTGTGGTCTCCTACACACTAGCTCCAGCCAAAAGGAGATTTCTGTATCGTGGATATAGAGGTCTTGAGCAGAAGGTATAGCTGAGCTTCATGAAACATCTCTGCACCTCTCTATACATCCACATCCCATCAGCCTCAGCATGCATATCAACAGGTATGCCCATCTTATGCCCACAAGGGAAAGTACCAGGGGGTAACTCTGGATCTCAATTCCAAGTTCCTAACAGAGAAAACCTGATTGGCTTGGCTTCAGTCAGGTAATCAGTCATTGCCAAGGATTTGGGTTCATAGGGAGACTTCTGGGACCCAACTCTGTGGATCTCTTGTGGTGGTGGGGGTAAGTAGGGGCTACCAGAGAAGGCAACTATAGGTTATGTAGATGTCTTTCAACATTAGAGAACTCTTTCATTTGAAAATTATGGGAGATGTGGGACTTGTGGAAAAGAAACTCTTGTATATATGCACAGAAAGGTATTAAATTATGGTTATAACCCAGGGAGGACTGTGCCCAGCACTGTACCACATTAAAAAAAACTTTTTTATTGAGGTGTAATTGATATATAACATTATATTAGTTTCAAGTGTACAACATGATACAATATTTGTATCTATATAGTGAAACAAACACCACGATAAGTCTAGTTAACATCTGTCACCATACATAGTTACAAAATTTGTTTCTCTTGTGATGAGGACTTTTAAGATATCTCTTAGCAACTTTTAAATATGAACACTGTATATTAACTATAGTCACCATACTATACATTACATCCCATGACTTATTTATAACTGGAAGCTTGTAACCCTTGATTCCCTTTACCCATTTCACTCACCCCCACCCCCTGCCTCTGGCAACCAACAATTTGTTCTCTGTATTTATGAGCTTGTTTTTTTGTTTGTTTGTTTGTTTTTAGATTCCACATATAAATGAGATCATATAGTATTTGTATTTCTCTGATTTATATCACTTAGCATAATGCCTTCAAGGTCCATTCATGTTGTCATAAATGGCAAAATTTTTTATGGCTGAATAATATTCCATTGCATATACATACCACATCTTCCTTGTCCATTCATCTGTGGACAGACACTTAGGTTGTTTTCATGTCTTGGCTATTGTAAATGATGCTGCAATGAACATGGGAGTGTAGATATCTTTTGGAGTTAGGGTTTTCACTTGAATAAATACTTAGAAGTGGGATTGCTGGATTCTACGGTAGTTGTTTTTTAATTTTTAATTTTTTGAGAAATCTCCATACTGTTTTCCTTAGTGGCTGCACCAATTGACATTTCCACCAACAGTGTATGTCCTTGCTAACATTTATTTCTTATCTTTTTTTATAGTAGCCATTCTAATAGGTGTGAGGAAATATGTCATTGTGGTTTTGATTTGCCTTTTCCTGATGAATAGTGAAATGCAAATAAAGGAAGAAGTATACTAGAAATGGATTCATTTTGAAGTGTTTGTCTCTCTTAAAATCTGCTCTGATATTCTCATACTCTGTCTGTCATTAGCTTCCTCTTTAACTATGAATATCTTTTGAGGTCCATCAACATTATTTCAGAAAGATAGATGCAAACAGGATTATTCTAAGGGCTAAATGCACAATGGATGTTGAGAGATGCAGATGGATGTGGTGTCATATTCAACTAAGCCGCATCACCAATAGAACAGGTATAAAAAATTTGGACACCCATCAGTAAACCCATTATTGTTTGTTGAGGGGAGCTAATACTCTAATTACTCCATCTGTCAGGAACACATCTGCTGAGGGTTTCTACATATTTTTTTTAAATTATGAATCCCTTTCGGTGGTCTGATGGAAACTGTCAACTCCTTCTTAGAATAATTTTTTTTAAAGTATAAAATAAAATACACAGGATTACAAAAGAAAACTTCTTATTAACATATGGTTAACAAAATATTACAAAATACATTTGTAATCTAATAGTTTCACATTAAACAACAAGACTTGACCGTAGTTCTAACTACCTAATTTCAAAGTTGTGAGGAGCATGAAAAATAGTTCAGTATATCTGCAACAACTGTAATGTGATATGAAAATGGCTTTGATTTGTATTGGTGATAAAGTCACAGATACTGGTAATTTACTGTGGTTCTTTTACTACATTCATAATTAAAGGAAGTGTCAAATTTTAATCTGGAGATGGGTGATGATAACTGTTATGCACCCATATCAATGTGTTTAATGGCACATTGATAATTAAAAATGGTTAAAATGGTAAATTTATGTTGTGTATATTTTACTACAAAAATAATAATAATAATAAAAAAAAAAACAGAAGAAAAAATTTCAGCTAGAGGTTAGTGAAAATAAAGATGTAATTTTTTTCCAGCCAAGTTCATAGCCACTCTGAATTCTACTCTTGGTGCCCAGTTAAGACACCCTGGCTGACAACCTATGCTTTAAAGACCCTGACATTCTACATATAATAAAATATTTTACATCATGGTGATTACATAGAATATACATTTTTGTATCCTTATTTTTTTATTTAATATGGTAGCATAAGCACTTCCTATGCTATTGTAAATTTTTCATAAACATCATTTCAATAGCTATGACATATTTCAGTATATGGGCATACCATTATTTTTTTACTCATGGCCCTATTTTTGGCCATTTAGATTGTTATCATGTTTTTAGCACTCTACACACTATGAACTTGCTAGGAAGTTAGACCTCTAATCCTCCAATCAGCAGAGAAGGAAAGCATCTAACTAACTTCAAGGCAATTACTTTTCAAACTTTTTGCACCAAGGATTTGTCACTGAAGGTACATCTCATAAACTTTGGACCCCATTCTATTTTAGCATAGAATTTACAACAGTGTTTAGCATCAGTGGCCCTAAATGACTTCTTTCCTATGACTGCAGCTGTGGAGGTATGGGAATTCACAGTGCCCTCACTGAACCTTACAGTGATGAATGGTCAAGAAGAGATGGACTGGGGGCTGGCTCATACTTTTCATTACAATTATGTGTGAGCTGTGCCAGCCAGGTTGGAATTTGAAGGATTACATAGCATGATGTTAGTGGGTGATTTGTCTGTGCTCCCAACAGAAGGGAAACCCACTACTTATCAGCATTTGCCTCCGTGCCCCACTCCTCCTTCCACCAGACACTCCTTGGTGGACTGTGATTTCCCTGGGACCACTCATATTTCTTTTTATTTATTACAAAGAATTTCAAATATACAAAAATAGAGAAAATAGTATACTGAATCTCCATGTACCCAGTGTCCACAGCGATCAATTCATGGGAACTTTTATTTCATCTATATTCCCATCCATTTCTTCCCTCAGAGTATTTTGAAGTAAATCATTTCATTTATATTTCAGTTTGTGTCTCTAAAAGATTAGAACTTTAAAAAATATAATTAAAATTCAATTACTTTACACTTAAAAATTATGGGTTCCTTAATATCATCAAATAACTTTGGTTTCGATTGATACAGCCCTTGTAGGTGGCACTCGCCATTATCACGGTCTGTGGATAGTGAGTCAAAGTAGAGGGGTATAGAGTTACAGCTGAAGTTCATTCCACGATGTATCTAGATCTCAGTCTGGACCAGGTGCTAGCAGTTTCCTTCTGCCTTCTTATCATTACCCTCAGGCCCCAGTCTAGAGGGTGAGTAGGCCCAGGAGGTAGGCTGAGCTGTTGGAGCTGTCTTTGAAAGACCTCTCCCTTCTGCTGGTGCCTATCCTCTTGATATAGGCTGGCCTTTTGTGGGGTATTGGGAGAGTGAGGTCTTACCTGATTCTAGGCTGCTGCCACAGGCATTATTGCCCTTTTATCAGTTAGAACGAGGTCTGACTATGCATAACAGAAAGCATTTTCCAAAACCAATGGTTTACTTATGTAAGGATTTGGGTTTTTCTTTTGAAAACCCAAAAGTACACAGTATTTGGTGGGCTTGGAAGCTCCACACTTACCAGAGACCCACACTCATTCTATCTTAGTTTATCATTCTTAGTACATTTGTAGTACATCACCTTATGGCCCAAGAGAGCTGCGGGGGCAATAGCCACCATTTGCCCTTGGATACCAAAAGGAGGAAGAAAGGAAAGGCAAAAGGATACCTTCCAGCTGTCCATTCTCCTTTTATAAAGGATTTCCCTAAAAGTCCCACTCAACAACTTCTACATACCTCTCTTTAGTAAGATTCAGTGATTCTGTCATACAACCACACCTAGTTGCAAGGGAATCTAGGGACCTACCACAGTACCACTTAGGATGTTTGTGGAGTATTTTCTATGTACTCAGAATTATTCTAGTTTCAATGGAGCATCATAAAAAAACCAGAGTCGGTTCTATCCCCAAGGAACCAACATTCCTGATAGCTACTTCCGGTGCTTCCTGACTTAAAAATGCCAGGCTGCTGGAGCTTTATTATGGGAGTGCCATAGACTTGAGGTGTGGTGGCCACAGGTTTTGACTTGTCTTCTCAAGAGATCAAAACAAATAGCTTGGAAGCTAACCTCAATGTGGCAGCTAAAGGATTTTGAACTGTTTGAAGGAAAAGAAATTCCCTTATGATTCAAAAACTTTGAAAGATCCTCAATTTAATATGTAGAGAGAGAAAGATGTGGATAAGCTGGCAACCATTCTGATTTTAGGAAATCAGAATTTTCATGCAAATCACATCTTGTCTATAGATAACACGTTTCTTTAATAATGTTGAATACTTGCCAGATGTTTAGCGAATATTAGGAACTTTGATGAGGGCTAATACTTAGCCTGCAAATAATACTTTAGTATAATAGTCTAATGTAAGATAATCTTGCTTGATGGAGGAAGAGTGCTTCTTACACTTGTCCTCCATTCCTTGGCCAGTTTAAACAGTTCATCCCTCTGACTCTTTCCTAAACCAGACCCCTGGCTTCTGCAGTCTTTTCCTTGTACTGGCTTCCTTCATGTGTGTATCCATATATCATGGATTGGTTAACAAAATGATTGAACATGTGATCAACATATGGCAAATAATGAATAACTGCTGTTCTGTGGGTGATGGATAGTGATGAAGGTAGGATTGGAAAGAGGAAACCTCTTTTCACAGTTTATTTAACAGCAGGACATATTTGCTCATATGAAACTAAGAAGCAATAAATATTTCTTTTCCTTACCCATAGTTTAATACCATAGAACCACAACAATGTCAAACTAAAAAGCCATCTTAAAGCTCTAAATCCTTTGTTTTGCACCTGAGAAGTGTGCTCAGAGATTTATAGAACCAGTGTGATATGTCAGATACCATCCATCTCTGTAGAACCTACAGCACTTCAGGCACTGGACCAGCTACTCTACTTTCATTGTTTCCAATCCTTCAAGGTATACATTACCCTGAGAAGTAAAAAAAAAGAAAGAAAGAAAGAAGAAAATATATATATATATATATATATATATATATATATATATATATAGAATAAGGTATGAGAATTTTTAACCTCTTCTCCTGCGACCCCAGTCCCATTTCTGAGCTTTCATTGAGGTGATATGGAGTTACAAGTGACAGGGTGAAATTGAAAGGATCCAAGATCTGATTTTCACTGGAAAGGGCAGGGTTTCCCATAGAAGAGAAAAGAGTAGATTCAGGTGAGAGGGGAGGAGAAGAACAGGAAAGAGCTGTCTCTAGAGGGTTTGAGGAGATTTGAAGAGGGGACAGGTATATATTGGAGACGTGTAAGGGAAATTTTAAACATACCTTTATTTTTTTTTATCCTCACCCGAGGACGTTTTTTGCATTTATCTTCAGATAGAGTGGGAGGAGGAGGGGAGGGAGAGAGAGAGAGAAACATTGATGTGAGAGAGACACATCGACTGGTTGCCACCCACACGACCCCAACCAGGGCCGGGGACAAACTGCAACCAAGGTGCATGCCCTTAGCGGGAACCAAAGCTGGGGCTCTCCGGTCCACAGGCCGATGCTCTAACCGCTGAGCCGAACCAGCCAGGGCTTAAACGTATCTTAAAGTTGAAGACGCCCTTTGGTATTTTTGAAAGATATCAATAAATATTTTGTTTTTTATTTACTTTTTAATATTGGACTGGATGAAACACTGGGCTGAGATGGGCTACAAAAAGATGGACTTACCCAGCTTTATATAGGTCACAGTCCACATTTTAAAGAGATTAAAACTTAGTTAGGTGAAAAAACTCACAGTAGATTGTTGCATTTGTGTGTGTGTGTGTTCAATATATATATTTTATATACATACACACACATGTGTGCACCTGCTTGTGTGTTTCCATAGACAGTGAAAACAAGAGTAAAAACCAGAGACAGAGATCTAGAAAATGTTTGGTACTTTCATTTGTAGAAATATGATAGAGTAGATACCCTGAAATAATAAATAGATAAATAAATAAACAAATGAACTAGCCGAATAAGTCAGAGAAAGATAAATACCATATGATTTCACTTATATGTAGAATCTAAAGAACAGTATCAAGGTAACTTTTCAGTTTATTTGAACAAACAGAACTGAAACAGACACATAGACACAGAGCACAAATTGATGGTTGCCAGAGGGAAGGGGATTGGGGTCTGGATGAAAAGGGTGAAGGGATTGAGATGCACAGATTGATAGTTACAGAATAGTCATGGGGATGTAAAGTACAACATAGGGAATATAGTCAATAATATTCTAATAACTATGTATGGTACCAGGTGGGTACTGGAAATATCAGGTGAACACTTTGTAAAGTATATGATTGTCTAACCACTATGCTGTGCACCTGAAACTAATAGAAATTAATATTGAATGTAAACTGTAATTGAACAATTAAATTAAAAATAATAATTAGCTGAGCTGATAGGAAGTTAGACAAATTCATAGAGTCCAAAAATCAATGAGGAAGAAAGAAGAAACTGAAAATCTGAACGGTTTTGTAGCCATTAAGGTAATTGAATCAGTATTTTTATTTTTTTTTTTGGTACGTGCCCCTAGCGGGAACTGAACCCAGGACTCTCTGGTCCGCAGGCCGATGCTCCAACTGCTGAGCCAAGCCGGCCAGGGCTGAATCAGTATTTTTATAAAAGTTTATCACAAAGACAACAAGTCTGGATTATTTTACAGACAAATTTTACCAAATATTTAAGGTACAGATAATTCTAATAATGTACAAACTATCAGGAGATGAAGCTCCAGGGAGTCCTCAAATCACTTTATGAAGCAACATTGCCTTGATATCAAGACCAGACAAGGTACAGCATGTGAAGGATAATTGCATCACATTTATAAATATTTTTGCAAGAATCATAAGCAAAGTATTAATCAACCAAATACAGCAATAAATAAAAACATAATATATCATGACGAAGTTTGGATTATATGAAGAAAACAAATTTGGTTTAATGTAAAAAAATCTCTGTAATTTACCAACATTGACAGATTAAAGGAGAAAAAACATTTCAATCAGTGCACTAAAAGTATTCAATAAAATTCAACATCTATTTATTCTAAAAAAAAATTAGTAAACTAGAAATAGAAGGGAAAGTCCTTACCATTATGAAGAAAATCTACAGAAAACCCACATTAAACCACCTGGTTACCAGTGAAACTTTAAAAAAACAATTTCTGTAAAATCAGGGACAAGACAAGGATGTCTGTTCCCATCATTTCTATTCAGCATTATTGTGAAGACTTGCAAAAAGACAAGAAAAAGAAATAGAAAGTATAAAGAATTAAAACGAGGGGGAAAAGTTATTTGCTGATGGATATTAATTGGAATATTCACGCCCTGTAATGCAGCAATTTTCAACCATTTTTGTCTCATGGCACATATAAACTAATTATTAAAATTCTTTGGCACATCAAAATTATATTTTTTGCTGATCTGACAAGATTCATTCACACCAGATGGCTATTGTGTTGGCTGTTGTCATTTAAAAAAATTTTATTTGACAACCTAAGGAAAATGAGGTCAGTGCCCCTGACTAAATAGTTAGGTATCACAGGTTTTAAAATTTTTTCAGCACAGGGGTTGAAAATCACTACTGTAATAGGATTATACCCTCACACCCACTTTTTGTTTCATTAGCCCAAGTCCCATAGGGAGGGTTTAAGGTCCCTCCTCCCTGACTTTGGCTTTGGCATGTTACATGCTATGACCAACAGGATGTGTTAATGTGATCGTGCACAACTGGCTCGGCTCATGTTTGCTCTTGACCTTGGCTATCAGAAAAGCATGTTCTAGATAGTGGCCAGCTTGGGACCCAGAATGAGAAGACATGTAGAGGCCAGCCAAACTTAGCAGCCTGCCACAGCTTTTATGCAATCAAAAAAATTGTAAGCTATTGGGCAAAAGCTTATTGATAAATAAACTGGTGCCGTGAATGTTTGCAAAGAAAACCCAAAAGAAACTGTAGATGAATTACTAAAATTAATAAGAGCTTAGAAATGTTCAAAATTGCCTTTCTATCCACATTTCTAATCCCCAGCAGAAAATTGTTTAAGAAAATAATTTAAAAATGCTATTTCTACCTTTCAAAATTATGTTATTTTTGAAGAAAATAACAAATTTTATTGAAAGACATTTTCAAAGACCTAAATAAATGGAGATAACTCAATATTATATGAATGTCTAGTCTTCCCAAATTGGTTCATTTGGGGAAAAAAAGAACAATTCCAATCTGTTTCTACCTCTCATTTGAGCTTGAGATTGATCTTCAGTTGCCTTCTAGCTTTTGCACAATATACTTGATATTAAATATTCAAAGTTCCGTTTATACAGGTAACATTTATGTAGATATCTCAGAATCAATGTGAACTAAAACAAAGTCACCATAGCTGCTTCTGCTATATTCCTTGTGCTTCTGGATGTCCCTGCTATCCTCCCAGGCACCATATAGAAGTTTGGGAGTCATTTAATGCTCTATTTCCCCTTCTTCTTCACCACTGCCATTGCCTTAGGCCTGGCCTTTGTCCAGACTATTGAAGTGACTTTCTAAATACTCTTTGTCTCCTTTCTCTTCCTTTTCCAAACTATCTTCCACCTGTGTGCTAGAGTGGTCTTTCTAAATATGATCGTCTCAACCTCTGATTAAAATCCATCCCCTTCAAGATAAAACCCAAACTTCTTTAAGGTTTGACCTGTCTCCTGGGCCCCTCTCTCATCATAATTCCATGTGCAACTTTTGCCCCAATAGAGCAGTTTCCTTGCAGTTCTTCAAGGTTGCTAAGCTGTATCTGCTTTTTCTCTTGGGACAGTCTTCCTTATCCTCCTTCTACTTAACTGCTAGAAACATGTACCTCAAGACCCAGTTTAAGTCACACCTTCCCTGATCCACCCAATTCTCATGTGTAAGTGTCTTCCTCCAGAGTGTTTATCACAATGCAATCATTGACTTTTTAGTCTGTTCCCTCATGAGATTATAAATCTGTTTAGGATATAGACTGTATCTTGTTTCTGCTTGACTATTTAGATCTTAGCTGATTATGAAATGTTTGTCCACTGTTTACACTTTTCATAAAATGTTAACTCTAACTTAATCAGTGAATCAGTGTGTGTGTGTGTGTGTGTGTGTGTGTGTGTGTGTGAGGAGTTCTTTCCTGAAAGCAATTTTTATTTCAAAATGTTGCTCATTGGCTATGTAGTTTTAAATGAATTCCACTAGATCTGTTCATGAATATAGTCCCTAGTAGTAAAAGGCATGCCTAATATGCTGAATTTTATTTTTATTTCAGTTAAAAAATCTGGATCCATTTTTACTGTTTGATGAGTTTAAAGGTGGTAGACCAGGTGGATTTCCTGATCACCCACATCGAGGTTTTGAAACAGTAAGTAAAATAATTTGACTGCAAAAGTGTGTATTTTAAAACTTGCCTTTGTTTTGAAATTTACTAATCATTTGTAATGGAAAATTCAATTTTAGAAGTAATGAGTAATAGGAAAAAATAATTTCTAAGTTCCTGGCCTACTAGAGAATTGTAATATCTATTTTACATGAAGCATACTCAAATGGAAATATTTACTGTTTTGAATATTCTTTGAATTTGTGTCACTGGAGACATTCCTATTTGAGCAGTTAATTAAGAGGAAAAATTAACCTCTTAAAATATTTATATAATTAAAATATATTAGACATAGAAGAAAAATTCAAGATGTGATTAAAATAATTTTATATCAAAAACGTGTTTCTCTTCAAGAGTATTCAGAAATGTTTAACCTCATGCAATATAATATTTTAAACCCAAAAGACAGTCCAAGAACACTATGAGTATTTAAACTCAGTTCTAGGGAATTTTATATAATCAAGGACAGGGGGTGAAATAGAACATAACCTAAGAATTAGAATTTTAAGGACATACATATACATTTACAAATTTAACTGTAAGATTTATAGAGATTCTGCTGCACATTTGTTTTTAGTTTTAGATACAGAAATAAAAATATATAACATAATATTGTGGTACTTTCAAAGATTCCTATTCCCCACACATACATACACTCTGGGAAAATACAGGGATAGTTAATTCATAGTTACAAAGTTTAGCCATCTGCTCCCTGAGAAAAACCTGTAATTTTGGGAAACACACCAGGGCTTGTTAAAGATTTAGTGTGTCAAGCCAATTGTTGACTGAGTAAATATTTATTCAGGCATTGGTGTTGAGCGATCTTTTGTATGTTAGGGTGTATGTGTTTTTATATTGGGGAGTTTGGGGAGAAGGCAGAGGGAGGGAGGCTAACAAAGAAAGAGGCTGACCCCTGCTTGCCTCCAGTATGCAGTCCAGTTAAGGAGGCAAAAGATGGACAGGTAAACAGTTCATTGCAGAGTAAAGGTGGAATGAACCAAGAAGCTTCTGGAAATAGTACGAATGATCAAAGTAGTCAGGTCTCCCTTTGTCATTTAGCTTTCCAGTTATCTTCTCGTTCCTTTCACCTACCCTATACTTGTGCTGAGTTCTGACCCAGTTCCAAATCTGACCCAGTTCCCACTGTGCTCTTCTGCTACCGGTATGAAGACATTCTCACCACTCCATCTCACAGCTCCAGTTACCATTTTGCTAATCTTTCATGTTCTTTTCAAGTATCACTTTCTCCATCAAGTTTTCCAGACAATCCCAAGAGAATGCACTTGCTTCATTTGGTCCCGTTAGCATTCTATTTTTACCAGGCTCACACACATTGGAACATTAAACCTCTATGGTGGCCTCAATCATATCCTGTCTGTCTTGAATTGAAGCTAGGAATTGCCTCAATTGCCATCTCCCTTGGCCACGCCCAAGAGGCTGTCAGTTGCTTCATTTGAGGTAATCCTACACATCTCCATGTTTTCCAGTTGGAGATACTCTGTAACTACTGGATGAATTTATTTAATTGAATAATAAGAAGAGATGGCTTTTCCTGAAGATAATGAATATATAAAAGGAATGAGAAAACATATTGCTTTATTTTCTGTTATGGAAAGAGGGACTGTTATAAATTATAAGGTACTCAGCTTTAAACTACTCTGAGGGAGTTCAGCTGTAGAATACTGGTATTTGACCCTTTTCTCTTGAGTAAGAATCTTCCTTAAAACTATATTCATAATTGTAGTCAATCCTCATTATTTTGTGGATTTGTATTTGTGAATCATTTTCTTGTTAAATGTATTTGTAATCTCAAAATCAATACTTCTGATTCATGGGCGTGCACAGACCTGCCCAATGTGCACATTCCCAGCTGAGGATGACAAGGAAATGCTCTGCCTCCTGTTACAGCTCTCATGCTGTAAACAAGTGTCCTCCTTGAGGCCTAGTTAGTGTCACACTTTTCACATTTTAGTGCTTTCTGTTAGGGATTTCACTGTTTAAAATGGCCCCCAACTGAAGTACTGTCTGGTGTCCCTAAGTACAAAAAAACTGATGTGCCTTATAGAGAAAATACGTGTGTTAGATAAGTTTCTTTCAGGCATGAGTTACAGTGCTGTTGACTTCGAGTTCAATGTAAATTAATCAACAAAATGTGTTGAATAAGGTGTCTTTAAACAGAAACAAATATAAAACAAGGTTATGTATCAGTCAGTTGATAAAAGTGTGGCCAGAAGCTTGCAGGATCGTGACCCTGTATTTCTCCAGAAGCAGTGGTTCAGTTTTTTCTAATTCAGTAATCATGACACCTTTATAGAACATAGCTACTTCGAGTAACTAGAATCAACTGTATCATTTTCCCCCAGGAGTGTAAGTAAGCCAAGGAGTCAGATCTGTGTTAATGTGAACTTTAAAAGTGTACAATTTAAAACCAGGTCCACTTGTAGGCTGGCATCACCTCCTTTGTGGTGAGCAAAGGAGCATCCTCGAAAGGAGTTACACATGTTTCTGTCTTTCCACAATACCAAGTTTATTAGGGGAGACCTCCCCAATAAGCCAGTAGAGTCACATGTAGGTTACACACAGAGAGGGGAAGCATATGCGATAGAAGCGAGCAGAGTGAGTGTCCAGAGCAAAGTCCCAGTCACTGCCAGCGTGTGCAGGTGGAGAGGTGGGCATGGGTCTCAGGCTAGGCGGCTACAGTGGCAGCATGCATCTGGTGAAGTGGAGTTCCAGCAGGGCTCCAACTGTGACCAAGCTTGAGCATTGGGTGATCAGAACGCTGAGTTCTTAGAGCCCACCAGGGGTGGAGGTCCCATTCATATCAGTGTTCAGATGGAGTCCTTATCCAAGTGTCCAGACCTGTGGTTTTGGGTGTTCCATACCCTCCTAAGGTTTGTTCCCATTATACAGAATTTCCTCGGTCTTGACACAGCACTTGACATAACTGTCATGGCTGACTGTCTCCATATTAGATTATCAGAGGGGTCCAAAAAGTCTGCCCTGCTCTTTCCCTGTACATCCCTGGAACATTTTCTACAGGCTTGTTATAAATTTTGAAAATGCTAATTAGTATAAAGAACAAAATTAGAATTACGTTTTAAATTATCTTACCATCCAGAAATAGATATTGTTTTTGTTTTGATGTATTTTTTTCCCGGGGCATTTTTTTCTGGTATCATGCTGTATATATTTATTGTCTTTTTAAAAAATATACATTTTATTAATTTTTTAGAGAGAGGGGAACAAAGAGGGAGAGAGAGAGATAAACATCGATGAGAGAAAAACATTGATTGGCTGCCTCCTGCCCACCCTTTACTGGGGATCAAGCCTGCAGCCTGGGCATGTGTCCTGACCAGAAATCAAACCAGCGACAACCTCTTGGTTCATGGGTTGATGCCCAACCACTGAGCCACACTGGCTGGGCATGTTTTGTGTCTTTTTAAACTTTAACATTGTAGTCTTAGCATTTTCCCAATATTCTTCAAAAAACTAATCTTTCTGGCTTCATTAAACATCTGCCATGAAGGTTGTTACCAATTGACATTGCTTCAGCAATGTATGAGGGTACCTGTTTTCCCTCAGCATCACCAGCGCAATCTATGTACCCAACTTCTCTTTATCTTTGCTGTTTTGACAAGTGAAAAATAATGCCTCATTATAGTTTTAGTTTGCATTTCTTTTATCTCAGAGAGGTTGATTAACTTTTCATTTGTAAACATTTGTTCACCATACATATTTATATCCTGGCCCTATTTTTTCAGTTGGGCTGCTGGTATTATTATTATATAGAAGTTCTTTTTTATTAAGGAAATTAGGCCCTTTTCAGTGATAGGAGTTGCAATAATGTTAGGAGGGATTAGGCTTGTTTTGCATATCCCCAAAGGTAAACTTTTGGATATAAAGCATAGAATCAAACCAAAAGAAGGAAGAACTTTATAACAATTCATTATACAGAAATAAAACAGCCTTCCTGAGTTGAAGTGATTTTCTTATTTCTGGGGAAACAGAAACATGCACGGAATGTTAACATAATGGGTGTTACCAGAATCAGTGTTCCTCAAAATGGTTGTGTACTAGATGAGTCAGTGCTGTGCTGGAATAAAAAATATTAGAGCTGACAATTTTTCAAAATAAAAATGAAATTACGCTGTAGTAACACATGAATATAAATAAATAAATATACATATTTTGAGTGCATGCTCACATTTTTGAACTAATAGTGATACACAACCAAAGAAATGTGGAGAATATTATTCTAAAAAATTCTTATGACCTCAAGTGTGATTGATATACCCTCAGTGGTCTCATCTGGAGCCCCAGGCTCCTCGTGAGATCTGTTGAATCAGAATCTGCATTTTAATAACATTCTTGAGTGATTGATGTGCACATTAACATTTGAGAAGTGCTTCCCTAGATGACCTTGCAAACCAGAAAAATTATAATTCTATGAGATAAGAGTGAGAACCTGATTTTACCTAATTAATGGGTAATCGTTTTTTAAAAACTTAGCTCTTTGGTTTGACTAACTGTATATTTTCTGTTAAAAACTTGCTTGAAAATTGAGGAAGAATGAATGCCCTGGAGAAGGAGGCACAGCTAGTGGTCACAAGACAAAAGGGAAAACTTGTTCAGTATTTCCTGCCAGAAGTTTGGACTCTGGGGAGCATTGTTTTCCAAAGACCTGAGTGGTAAAGGGTGGAATAATTTTGCAGTGATTTATTTCTCGTCAGGCCTGATATTATTTTTCCTGATATCTTGATTTGGTTAGGGCAGCTGTAAATGATCAGAAACAAAGAACGATCTGAAAACTGGGCAACACTCTCCCCTTTTTAATCCATGCCCTGCCAAGGTTTAATTTAACTTGAAAAGCCAGTAAAATTTACGCACTGGTTAACTGTTCACCTACTCCGAGAAGAAACGTATTTAATGCCCCTTAAGATCTTCCTTTAAATCAGCAGTTCTCAACCTCTGGGTCACAACCCCTT